GGGAGAAGCCTATGGCTACTATTAAATTGGGAAATAAATATTTGGACTATCTGATCGATACCAGTGCCACCATGTCCTCTGTAGCCCCTCTGCAGATGTCCTAGAAAGTGGCCGCCTAATTGAAACCGTGGGGATAGCTAGCGTCCCGCGGGCGGAACCCCTTTCCATGCCAGCTCAATTGAAAATAAAGGAAAGAGATGTCGCGGATACTTTTATTATTTCTAAGACAGACCCACTCTCCCTACTGGGCCGACAAACTCTTTGTAAACGGGGAGCCACATTACATTGTACGACCGAAGGTATGTACATGGAGCTCCCCCAAATTAGGGTTCCCCAAATGCTGAAATTGATGGCTGAGCCAAAACTAGGCGATACAGAGCCTATATTATACTGTTGGCAGCTGGATGGCAACCCCTATACCCCAGGACTCCAGCAAATGCAGACTGCTCTGCAGAATTTCACGAGTCCCTATGCCCAGAATTTGTGTTTTTTAATCAGCACCAGTTGGGAAAAGAAGAGGGTACTACACAGCCTACTGGATCCACGCCACTAGATGCAAGTTGCACTACGACGAAAAAGGAGAATAACGTCCTCCGGAAGAGAAATGAAAACATCACCGAGAACGAAAGGACACAACATGAGAAGAAGTAAAATCCTGACTGTGGCAATTGGACTGATATATGTTTTCGGACTGCATAGAGGATTTGCGATAAACACCTTTCTGTGTATGTCTCATGAGTATGCTGATAGAAGTAGTGTCTCTGCTTGCTGGGTATGCATCCTTGTCCCTCACCATGGAGGGGAAGGGGGCATCCCCTTAAGGTCAATCCCTTTTAGCCATAGTGACATGTACGCCTGGAGATGTTTTAAAAATCATACAAGAAAGGAGGGAGGCATCAGAACCGGGGATTGCTGGATAGGAAACCCGCCCAAAGGCAGTAAGATATGGGAATTTTTGTTACTTCCTTGTGTGAACAGATCACAATAACTCACCTTTGATGGCTGATACATACCTAGGTATGTCAGAAAGTCTAGCCCCCCCCCCCCCCCCCCCCCCACCGTAATGAGGGCTCAAGTAGGCAATGAGTGCATGTCAGCCAGACCACCCTAATGCTACCTTTATAGGCAACAGCCGCTGCGAATCTAACAACACCCTGAACCACACACCGCTGTGGGCCTTGAGTGGAACATACTGGGTATGCGGGATAAAGGCCTACCCTTGGCTCCCAGTGCAGTGGACAGGCTGTTGTTATCTAGCATATGTCATACCCCAGATCCAACACTTTGAGTCTCTAACTCAACATCCTGCGGCTCACAGCATAGCCAGTTCCAGCACTAATGTACGAAGGAGAGCTCTAACCGAAGCAGAGAGGTTTGGGATGATAGCTTTTCCCTTTTACGGACCTGGGAAAGCAGCCAGAGAGTTAATAAATATGGCCTCTGCATTAGAGAAATTGGGAAATGAGACAGCAGAAGGTTTCAGGGAGACACAGCAAGCTCTATCTGCAGTTACAGTAGAATTAGTGGCGGTTAGGACTGTGGCACTGCAGAATAGGATGGCATTGGATTTTGTGTTGGCTGGAAAGGGGAGTACCTGTGCCATTATAGGACAAGAGTGCTGCACTTATATTCCCGACAAATCAGAAAACGTTACCAACCTGGCTGATCACATTAGAAAGTCGGCCAAGAAAACTAAGAAGATAAGAGAACAGTTTCACAATTATAATTCCCCGGGAGGTTGGTGGATGTTCGATAACTGCTCGGGAACTCTGACACATTATGGTGTAATATTTATCATGGTGGCTATTTGCGTAGTAGCTGCTAGATTTATTTGCACCCTGTTACCCCCGATATGAGGACACCGACCTATGGTGCCAATGTACCCTAGAACAGTGATCGAGAGTTTTGATGACGATAGTTATGATGAGGAGGAATGTTTAAAAATGCGTCCTTACCCAGAGGGATATGAGCCTCCTTTTCACCAAGAGAGAGATGTAAAACTTTAAGTGTTGATCTGAAAAGATCAGCAAGGAGGGAACTGTGGAAGAAAAATTTTACATCGCAAGGGTAGATGGGAATTTAGGCCAAGACAGAAATTACATTGCAAG